CACAGACATTCATGCAGGCAAAACACCTATATCTGCTGTATTAAAAACCAAGCAAAGGAAAACCCCTCTTCAGTAATACTGATCCTGTATTCACAGCTGTGGGAAGCATTCTGTGAGTATGGACCCTTTTGTCAACAGAACTGTTTCTCAGGGGCATGGAATAAAAATTGATCCTGTTTGGTGAGCAATAATTTTAACATCCACAAAATGTGTAGTGCCTTCTACAGGAGGAAGTGTCATTGTCTGGTGCCCCTAGCAAGGTTGTATAGTCCCCCCCCCTTAATCTCCTCTGATAACCCATCCCTCCTCAACAAGTGTAATTGATAGTTTTTAACCTGTCCTTTCTCTTCCTTTCTTTTTTGTTTGTTTTGAGGCAGATGTCTCACTCAATAACTCAGGCTTTCCTAGAACTTACTCTGTAACCCAGGCTGACTCATAGAAATCCTCCTGTCTCAGCCTCCCAGTGGCTGGGAGTATAATTTAAGTGCTACAATTTATACCACACGTGTAGGAGGTCCTTTCACCTTGAGAGCAAACAACCAGCCAGGAAAATTAGTCACTAATGTCTTAGGACAATAGAAAAGCAAGCACTCTACAAGATGGCCTTTTTTTTTTCCTTCTGGGAGCTCTGTAGCTCCAGCCAGGTGTGTGCTGTCTCCTTGTGTGCCCTATGTTGCCCTCTTCTCATTACAAAGCTGTCTTCCCCCAGCAGTTTAGACATCTGTATTGTAGGGGCTGATTTTTGCTTTGAGCTCAAACAGCTCCTAACACAAACCAAATCTCAGGTTAATCTTTGCATTGTTGTTCTCCTCCAAACTGCAGTAATCCTCCATGATTGACAAACTCTTCAGTCACCACTTCCTCCAAGCTCCAGTGCACAGGGCCTGACCCAGACCCTGACCTAGCCACTTTGGTAGTAGTGGTACGACTGTCGCCCTTAGGGAGACAGGTTGGCGAGGGTTAGGGAAAGACTTGAGCCCTTGATCCACAGGCATCAAATCCCACACCCAGTGTGTTTCTGAACATTGGATGAAAATGAAGCAAGGAACTTGGAGATTAGCACTCAAGCCCTTATAGTAATAGGTAGAAATTTTCATGCAAAGACCTTGGGGCTGGTTGTAGTAGCCATGTCAAAGAATATTTGGTGTCAGCATGTCCTGATTTAGAGCTTCTCAGAAAAAAAAAAAAGGAAAATTGCAGGTGCCCCTGGGATAATAGATCTCCTGCCAGGCTATCAAGACACTCCCTCTGGTCTCAGTTCTTTTGTTCTCTGCCACATGGGAAAGATAGCATTCTAGGCAAAAGTGTGTGTGTGTTGGGGATGGGTGGTTAGGGCAAAATCACACACCTGATGTGCTATGGTCAGGCTTCAGAGAAGAGCCTGCGCATCTTCATTTGCATAGGAAATTGACATACAGGTTACAGAATCTTGAATTTCATCTTCTAAGAAGATCATAGAACGTAGTACAAGGTCAGACTGGCATGAAATCAATTGTAATCTGCCAGTAAGCCGTTCGGACCTCTTTAAGAGTTTCCTTTTATATTTCTTCCTTTATAGACAGAAAAAAGTACATTTAAGGAATGTCTCATCAAATCAGAATGTCTTCCTAAAATTATTTTTTTAATTGGTTACTACTATAGTGTGCCCTACGGCCTCCTGGTATTTAACCCTCTGTGCAACTTTGACTAATGAACAAATTTTGTCTGCTGTAGCAGTCTTGCTAACTGTACTTTAGAGGTTTTTTTTTTAAAGATTACAGTGTATTATGAAAACCTCAGATCATTCCTCCTAATACATTGGTTGTTGCTGATGCCATCTCTATGAGTGCAATGCTCCTTAAGTGCACAGGCCTAACTATTTCTCTTATTTTTAGATAGCAGTTCCATTTTATAATGACATTAAGCCATTCTGAGTGATATGTTGCCGGACAGTTATTGCACTTGGGTAGAAAGTGTCATCTGGCTTTTAGCCTTGTACCTGATGACACCAACCAAGATGTAAAATGATACCCCAGAAAATGTATGAGGCTTTGCCTCATTACTTAAAGATAAATCTTAGAGTCTTAGTCTGTTTCAGAAAAGATTTGGTGAGTTATAACATTTGATTTATGAACATAATTAAAATATAAATGATGAGCTTTGGCTCTTCAATTAGCCATCTGGATGGTTTGATAATTCGACATATTCCTATAGTAGCCAGGGTCTTTTCTGGGGACATTTGATGTCCCTGACTTCTTAAGCCATCTCTAGAATCCCCATGTTTCTGTCCCACTTGTTGAAGATTCTTAAGTTCCCCAGTAAGGGGGTAGAAAAGGGAAGAATTTTGCCTTTAAGTTTCTTGTTGCTCGGGAACAGATCTTCGTGCTCAGGCCTTCTGTTTGGTTTATAGGGTATGAAGATAGTTCAGCTTCCCATGGCCAGATAATATGCCCATAAATACTCCATGTGTCAATGGAAAGGGACCTTTTTCTATATAATACAAGCAGTATTGATGTGCACTTTTCCTGTCAGCCATTAAGGTAACTGTGGCAACTGTGTCCAAACATAACATGGTAGAAGCTTCTTCTGGGGCCTGGACCATAAATTAAGAAAATCAGTTATGAAAAAACTGGAAGTGTACCTTCTATGGCTTAAAATACAAATTTTAGCTATGGCAAGTCCTTCACTTATTGTTCTGTATTTCATTGTGTGATTGACAACTGGTAAACGGCTCATTGGGAACATGTTTAAAAAATGTTTAACTAAAACAAACTCAGTGGTACTAAAGAAGCCATGCTGTCAAATCATTAATGGATGTTAAACAAAGAGTGTACTGTCCTTAAAACACTCTCTTCTTGTTTGCTTGTAAATTACAAGGAGGAGAGAAACAACAGAATTTTGCACACAGACCACCAAGACTAGACCAGCAACTACAGACCAGAAAGAAAGACCAGCAAGCACACAGTAGGCACAAACTAGCAAATGCAGACCAGGAGACCAACAAAGATGCTTTGGCAATCACAGGTAGCAAGTACAGATCAGCAGCCATTCTGTTCTCCTTAATGAGCAGGCTGAGGTCCAAGTGCATAAACATCAACCTATAAGGAAACGTTAAGTTGCTGTCTAGATTCGGGGCTCTCCGTCTATGTCAAAAGTCCCCTAAGCAAGAGTTCCTGGGTACTCTTTGGTTTCTGAGGGTGAATTGGCAGACAGGCCTTTTGTTATCTAAGTGTCATGACTTCACATTCGTTTCTGTTTGTCCTTTTAAAAATTAGAGTTCATCAAATAACTATATGTCAGGCAGAAAAACTTGTGTCACTAAAAATAGTAACATACATAATAGATATGCAGTGCACTTCAAGGTTCTGTTTATCTAAGATATGATCTGAAAGTGTGTGCCCAGAAGCCCTTGCTTTAGACCAGGAGCCAGTGCTAGTTCAAGGTCACCCTGTTTATTCCATGCAAATATTTTTACCTTTCTTTAATAACATTTATCAGGATCCTTACCATTTTACTTTTCCAGTAAAGTCCAAGAAAGAGGCAGTGTTACTTGCAGTGGCCATCTGGAGCTTTTCTCATCCTTATGTCCTCTGACAAGTAACATTGTTCTTTAGAAAGCACTACCAATTCCCAGTGGTCAGTGTACACTACTGGTTGTTCAAGGGAGCTCTCTTAAAAGGACCTTAGTATCTTGGGTTCTTAGTGACATAGCAAAAGGTACGTGATGCGATCAAGACTAAAATATCATCTGGCAACAGCTGTCCCAGGTGATGACTTCCCCGTGCAGTGGCCATAGGTGCGTGAGCAGTGAGATTGGTAGAGCCCGGCCATATTTCTGTCTTCTCTCTTATTCCATAGGAGGAATACTAATGACCTCACCACTACTTGTAAAAGGCCAAGGGGCTATAGTTTAGGTGATGTGATTGTGTGGGAAGGTAAAACTAAGGTAATTGTTTTGACCTTTCAGCCAACTGATGTCTTGCCCTCTCACACTTATTACTCTCGGGTCCATTTCCAGAAATATACATTTACAGAGCCACAGAATTAAATGAAAAGCATTGGAAAATATCTGATTCCACTCAGGTTCTATTTATAAATGTCTTTTTTTATCTATCCGTGTTGATTCTAACTACTTCTGCTTCCCTCCCTATTCCCTGAACCCCCCATCATTCATCTCTGATACCCACACACCATCTCACTAGCAGTCACAGTTCTGAACCACTGTTGGAAATAAAAATAACTGTGTCACTTTCCTGAATGCACAATTGTATTAGAAAGGTATACTCAGCTTTAATTATGGACTGCCATTGAGAAATGTACTTCAGAATCAGAACTCTAACGCATTCTGTTCTACAGGCCTGTCTGGCATTGTGTTATCTCTGAGACCTTCAAGTAGCTACATCATTCTATGGGTACCAAAGTTGTCATCCTTAAAACCCTTGCTTATTCCACTGTGGGTAATGGATCCTCAGAGAGTAGGCTCTTTGTGAATGTCAATTCTCTTTCCTCTGTGTTTATGCCAGGATGGATTCGGGGCCACCCATCTCTGTTTGAGTGGAATTCAGGAAACAATTTGATAGCAAGAGCATAGAAGAGACAACTTATTAATATGCAGTGTCAAAACACATTGTCACATGGTAATCTGTGATCTATGATAAAATGTATCAATTCTGAGCACCACAAATCTGCAGCTTCACCTCAGCATGAAGGCAAATGAGTTTCCCTTAGCTTGACTGAGTTTAGAGATAAACTTCAATGTAACAAAATGTGTTTCACAGGAATTGTTTGATGTGGCACAGTTGGCTTATGAATCTCTTATCTATTCAGGGTTCACTCCTTAGAGTTATTAGCCAATTTAATTTGAAGAAATGCCAGGATTACTAACTAATTAGAAGGATGTTGCCGAAAGCACACGGGTGGGGACAGAGTAAGTGCTGGCAGTGTGGGGTTTGTGGTAGTATGCAGGTCTGATCTGCCTGGTGCATCCTTTGCTAAACATCGCACTTTGTGTTATCACACAGATAAACCGCAAGTGCATATCCAGATGACCTACCCTCTACAAGGCCTCACCCGGGAAGGGGATGCACTTGAGCTAACTTGTGAAGCCATCGGGAAGCCCCAGTAAGTTCTGAAGACCAAGGTTGGCAGAGGGTCATGAGCGGTAAATGTCACAACATGAAGATATGCATTCACAACTCATTGGCCTGTCACCTGTCTCCAGCTGTAAAAAGGATGGGAGATTTTTCAGAAAATGAAGAATATTCAATGGCAGGAAATAAATATCTATGATTCTTAATGGTCAGGATTGGGAGGCAAATGCCAGCTAAAACTGAAATTCTGGTGACTTCTGTTTTATTGGCATTAACAGGCTGGTCAGGGCTATTTTCTCTTACATTATATTTCAACATACTGGGGCTGGAAAGATGGCTCAGCAGTTAAGAGTCCTTACTGCTAGTGTAGAGGATCTAAGTTTGAGTCCCAGCACCCAATCACGCTGCTCACAACAGGCATATCCCACCGGCTGTAGGAGATCCAACACTCTCTTCTGTACCCACATATACATGGGCACATACAAAGACACACATGCATACACACAAATAAAAATCATTTAAAATATCAATATACCAAAATCAAAATATGCAGTAGAACGTCCATAGACAGACGTGTTCTTGCCATAGCTAGAAGATGGCTTTCTAAACTGTAATACACAGAGTTTAGAGCCAGATGTAGACAAAAGAATTTGCTTCCAAGAAAGGTGGTGTCCTCAACTGAAAGGCAGCTTTGTTAGTGAGGAGAGATTTAGGACTCTCTTCAAAGGGAACGTGACTATTTTGCCTAGGAGAACAGGAGGGCTGACAGAGTCTCGTGTTGCTGAGGAGTGTGATGGAGAGGCTCTGTTTACTCCTGCACAGTAGTCCAGCGTGAGTCAGAAGAGCACCCACTAACATGGCAAACAAGCCTTGAGGCTATGCTACTGCAAATATCTCACAGTCCACTTAGTGAACAAGAGAGCCTTTCATCTTTTTAGTAAAACAAAATATTTTTAAGGTGTGAAAAATCCCAATTCATGGACTCATTAAGTGGAAAGACAGATCAAGTTGGGATTAAGGTCACTCAAACTTTTAGGTCCAGAAAACAGCAGTGAGCTCCTTCTGCTGTCCCTGTGGCATGATTTCTTTTTTTCCCCTCAGAGATTTGGGTAAGCAGCATTTTCATGATTTCATATAAAGACCTTGGAGCATCTTAACAGAGTTTCCCTTCATATCCTCAGAGAAAATTCAGCCTGTGACGGCCGAGGAGCCAAGAGTGCACTGTGTCAGAGGGGAGTCTGGCTATAGCTAGTCCCTTTGGTCACTTCCGCTCTCCTTTACCCACGGGCTAGAGCATTCCCTCTGCGTAAGGAGGGAGAATTATAGAGATAACCTTTGGCGGAGGATGGAGCAGAAAAGAACCACTGTTTGGAGTTTTCTCTGGTGCCTGTGGGTTATTTGATCCCAGCTTTGGCCGAGCAGTCATTTTCTCTTTTAAACCCTTCAAAAAGACTCCGATCCTTTTATATACTTATTTATGCCCTAATTAGAAGCTTTCCTTGTCTCCCAAAGAATCCCATGGACGAAGGAGAATCACTTCTCAGGGGCCTTTGACTGTTTGCAGCACCTATATTCCACCACATCAGCTGTTTGACCTGCTAACCTATATTTTGTTTCTATAATTTTTTTTCTCCCGAAGAAGGTACTGTGTTCAATTGCATGTGCCACAGGGACAGTGAATGACATGTTTGTTTCAGGACATTTTTGTTTGTTTCTCTCAAACTAGGAAGGGCTTGTGGCTGTGTGAGCAAGCAGGCATTACTCTGCAGCTATCCCTCCTTGCATATTACCTATTTATTTTCTCAAGAAATTGTATACAATAAAAATGGTAATTTAACTTGCCATTAAATGTTGTGAAAATTCTCAGTGCTTACCCCCACTGATTGTTTTCAGCTGTCAAGCAGCAGGATGTGAGATCTGATTGCCAGGCAGCCCCATTTTCCACTGCCTACAAAGAGGACATATGCAGTACCAACTTTTAAATAATTTACCGCTTTCTGATGACAAGCCCATGTGTAATTAAAGAAAATTGTAACTTCACATCCCATTTGAACACTGGAATGCTACTTGACAGGCCTAACTTGAGTATCCATTCCTCATTTATCCCTGGGTCTCTGCCCATGTCACTGCTCCCAGAGGTAGGACTAGGCACTGAGAGAAAATCGCTTATGTGTTCAAACCAGTAGCATCCTTCTTGTCAAATAAAAACTGGGAACTAAGGATATAAGTGGGGGTAAGTGCACTTACCAGGCTCTGGGTTCTGTCTCTGGAATCACACCCCTCACGCAAAAGACAATTTTCAAACATTCTAGATTTGCCCTTGGTTTTGTAGGGAGATGAAAGAGGCACCTTGAAGAACACAGGTTTCAAGTTCAGTGAGTGAACGACGCTTGGTGTGTATGCACTCTTTTCTCCAGAGCATCTTGCCAAATCCTTAATGGCTAGCTTAAGATATGTGTGGTATTTTAAATCACTGAAACTTGTTTTTGATAAGCCAGTTCCCTTGTTGGATCTAGAGAGTCTACTTTTAGATGTATTCTTTCATCATTAATCCAAGAACCAAATGTACTCACGGGGCAGGTCCAGCTATATCTGGGCTTAGAGGAGCCAATACAGAGGGCTAGTTAGGTCAGGGGCAGAGAGAGTAGGTGGACAGGGCTGCATGGCATCTCTGGTGGGAGATTCAAGCTAAGTGGGGAGGAATAGATCATATCTTTCCAGAATCAAAGGATTTTTCTGAACAGATCAAAACAAAGCTCTATTCGAACCAAGGCCAATGGCACGGGCCTGTAATCCCAGCTGCTCTAGAAGCAGGGTCAGGAGATTCACTGCAGTTTCAAGGGCAGCCTGGTCTACATACCAATTTCTACACAAGCTAAGGCAACCTTGAGGGCAAACAGTAATAAAAGAAGGCCAAGGATATAGCCTAGCAGTAGGGTTAGCATGTGCAGTGCCCACGAGAGAAAGGGAGGGAGACAGAGAGTGCTGTCCTGGTGTTAGAGTCCACTTAAACTCACAAGTGTCTTCTGAGCAAGCAAACATTTGGTGTGTTAGTACCTGTTGGACTGATGCATGCACCACTAGCCATGATCTTGCTCCCTCCCCTTCTCTAATTAATGAGATGATTAACAACGGGTGAGTTCGCCCCTGCCTGAGTTAGTGGGAAACCATACAGTGGGGCATGTGAGTTTTGCACACTGGCTTTTTTGCTGACTGACTAAAGATTAATTGGAAATTTTAAGACACCTGCTTATATCAAGTCTTGAAAGCTTCTCAATACCTGACCATGTCTTTTAAAAGCTATTGCAAACATATGTTCAGCAGTTGCATAGTCTCAACTCTATGGACTTTACATTTCTCCAGTGGGTCCAGTTATCTGCATCACCCTGCATGGGATTTGTTTGCTGCATGGGTGAGAAAGTGGATACAGATGCTGTAGGAGGGAATGGCCCTGTGACTTGTCCTTCTTACCTTCCCTCTGCAGGCCTCTGATGGTAACTTGGGTGAGAGTCGATGATGAAATGCCTCAACATGCCGTACTATCCGGGCCAAACCTGTTCATCAATAACCTAAACAAAACAGATAACGGTACTTACCGCTGTGAGGCTTCCAACATAGTGGGGAAAGCTCATTCGGACTATATGCTGTATGTATACGGTACGTGAGAAGACAGAGCCTCACCTCCTCTCTCCTCCGCATGTAGCTGCTGCCTGGGCTTCACCCCCAAAGCCTTTGGTCAAGTTGAAAACAAAACAAAACAAAAACAGTTGGTATCCTTCAGAAACTTAAAGAAGTCTGGCCTCAGGTGGACCCCAGTGGTCCCTACCTGGGTTGCCCAACAGTGACTGTTCTTCTTTCCTCTAATTGTGGGGGTTTCCCACAAGATCACAGTCTCTAGTTGTGCTGAGGAGAAAGGCTGTCCTCAGGCACAGGCCATGGAGATTATGTTAGAAGTAATGTCTGAAAAATTCAACCTTTCCAATTAGTGGTGTTCAGCTCAGAAAGTTTATTCCCAGTAGGTTTTTTTCCCCCCTATGATACCTGGTATAGCCTTTCTCCTGCTTTGATGAGCAGAGCTTTCTTATTTTCAACATGAAACTATTAAATCCAGAAGACTTTGCAAGCGAGTAACCACTCACTTGGTAGTTGGAGAGACTATCTACACCTTCTGTTTTAGACACAATGTCAATTTTTTAAAATGTTATGTTTTCTTAATCAATATCTTTCTACAGGTTATTAAAGAATATTATCATGAATTTCATTTTGGATTCAACAGATATGTATGCCAGGTGTTTTCCACTTCTATCTTGCTGTTGATTTTATGTATTGTGAATATGCTCTATTAAGTTGAGAAGTACCCTCCCTTTATAGTTTTATGCCATCAAATTGAATATCTTCTCTCCAATTGAAGTCTTCATTTTATACCAAGAAAAAGTCATACACTGGCCTAACACATAATGAGTAACCAGAAGCAAAGGCAAAACCCTAATATTATAAATATTTGAATATGGGGGCCATATTTCTGCCTTCATGTTAGCTTTGTAAACAATCCAAGTTAAGTTACATAATGTGAATGTAGGCAAAGACATAAATTATACATATGGAATAATGTTTACATGTACTGTCTCAGAACCTGGGCATCCCTTTTGTGAAGGAAGAAAGGAGGGGGTATCTTTGAACGGAGAACCATCCTTTATACCATACTTATATGGATATGAAGTTATAATCCTTTGCCTATACTTGAAGTTTTTTGTTTTTTTTTTTTTTTTTCCCCTAGCACAGTGGTTCTCAACCTTCCTAATGCTGGGACCCTGTAATATAGTTTCTCATGTTGTGGTAACCCCCAACCATAAAATTATTTTGTTGCTACTTCATAACTGTAATATTACAGTTGTGAATCATAATGCAAATATCTGACACACGAGGTATCTGGCATGTGACCCCTAGGGGGGTTGTGACCCACAGGTTGAGAACCACGGCCTTAGCATAACACAGACTTGAAAGATCCTGTCCAGTCCCCGTATTTAAGTGTCTGGAGTTTGCTATCTCTGCACACTTCCAAGTTTTATTAGTGGTTCATACACAGTTACTGTTCTTCTCAGCCGTTGAGGAAGTGTACAGATTTCCGTCTGTGAGAAAGGGAGCCCACTTTTAGCCGGCAATTTGCAGAACTGCTGTGCTGCACTATTTGGCTGGGATGGAAGATACATTCCTCTCTGTGCTTCTGCATGTACCTCTTCCACCCTAAGGTCTAAGCCTGATGGGAGTTTCTCTGTCATTGGTGCCCAGGTTTATACACATCTGTATAACTCTTCTTATGGACTTCATCTGCTTTCTCCCAGTCTGTGATGCACTCAGATGCCTAAATTATCTGGAAAAACAGTTCAACTTACAGTACAGTACTATTCCTACATCTCAAAATGAAAACATTTTCAGGCCTTGTTGGGCAAACATATTTGCATAATTTGGAAAATTAGCTTATAACCAGCATATGTTGAGATCCCTTCATGCTGTTTCTGACATTGACAGTTTTACAACATGACCTCATCTAATCTCCACAATAACATCATGATCTGTGCATATTTTTCATATCATTTGGCATATGATGAAGTGAAGCTCAGAAAGATTGTACAGTGTGGCCCAGTTCACACGGTCCCCAGATTGCTTGTGATGCCAAAGCCCACTGCAAAGTTAGTCTTTGCAGGGCCCCTTATTCTCACAGCTTTTCAAGAGACCAAGCCCCTCCGAAGTAAGACTGGTCTTTTCAAATTAGCCCCCTGGACCTCACTGTACTATTTCAAAACCAAGTATCACCTATTTAACAAACATACCTGTATACAAGTGTATCTCTGATCCAAGACGATCCATCCAGCCTCCTAGGGATTCTGTCTCTTGGTCCCTGCTAGTAGCACCATTGGAATGGCATGCTAGCATTCTAAACCAAAGTATTGCTAGTCTATTAACAAAACAATCTAATAATTTGGGCAGGGATGGACAGATAGTCTTTCCAAAGCAAAATACTGTGATATTACAGCATTGAAGTGCTCTGTGAACCTAAAGTTAATACACTTCTGAAATACTTAATTCTCTGGAAGTAAATTCTCTACTTGAAGCATCTGGCTGGTTAGAACCCCAGGATCCAGTTGAGCTTGTTCTTCTAGCATCCATGTTGAAAGCACAGCTAATTAGCTTCAGCTCTTTGTGTTTCTACCTATGCTTGTTGTAATGCTGTGTGTTGCTTTCAGGACCTCTGGCATGCTGGGTGAGCACGCTGATGAGCTGCACCCCAGCTCCCTGGCTTCTTAAATAGTGGCCTTGTGCTGCCCTTCTTACTGAAAATGACCTCAGCAAGGATGTTTCACCCGATAATGAAATCTGATTCATTCAAGGTTTCCTGAACCAGATGTGAAGGACAAGATTTGCCTAGCAGTGATGGAGATCACTGAACATGTGCCATTTTTTTACATAATGAGAGGGACTGTGGCCTCTCCCTGGCATCTATCCCCTTGTTCATCCTGTCTGCCTTTTGGTTGAGAATCATATCTTCGATCACATTCACACTCATTCTTACCATCTTGCACATGTCACATGCATTTAGAAATGGGTTTGAAAATAGCATTAGAGCATAGTACAGCAAGTCTTCCAAGTAGCAATATTGCTGTTAGAGGCAATACTGTAATTGAAACAAACAGGAAAACCACATTACTTGGCACCTGGATGGGCAGGAGGTACTCTCTGGACATGGTTTACTTGTTACAAAAGAAGGCAGTGTCTTGGGTGCTGGCTAAGGTCTCAGGGAACCCAGTTGATCTATCTCTGAGGTGACACCTGTCATTGGTATAGCTGTGTTCAAATAAGTTGCCCAGTCACAAAAACACTTCCTTACCTGTGGCTTCCATAAAACACACCAAAGGGCAAGACTGGAATGATACTCAGTCATTTCTTAGCCTGTTCTTTAAAAAAGGTAATTTAAAATTTAAATTTCATCATTTCAACTTCTTACAATGAGATTTTGCATGGAATCCTTTTCTTGATTTGTTGGAGGCTACATTAAACAACAGTTTAATTTGCTTATTTCCACATCTTCAAGGAGAAGTCTGTCATATAGCAGAACCATTTGCTGTTGGTTCTTCCTTATCAAGTTCATACAAATATGATTGTGTGAGGGAAGCAGTTTGTGAAGAAAATGAAAACCTTTGATTATTGATCAATGATAGGCATCATTTTATGCAGGCTTTGCAGCCAAGCACCAAAAGAGTCATCCATCAACTTCCAGGAAGTTGTGCCAAACCCAGTAAAGGTGCAATATATAATTAAAGTTTTGATGTATTAATTAGACAATCCGAGAGCTCACTTGAAGATAAAAGGACACCAGATGTGTCAGGGAGAAAAACTTGACGTGCTTTAGATAAAATTTAAAATCAAAAGCCTTCAAATCGTCTTATGCTCTATTATAGCAGAATGATTGCTTAGTTCAAAGTCTTGCTGACAATTTAACATATTCAGTTTGATCATCTGGGCTAAGATTTTTTTTGCCCTTTCTGTATCCCCAAATAATTTTTGAGATGATAGAAGATACAGTGTATCAAGTACCAGACAGAGGCTTCCTATCAGGCTCCTGGTTTTGAGGGTCAAACCTCATTTATATTTAGCTCGCTTGTTTACAAGATGGGAAATGGTCTTTCATTTTTATCATTGTGGTCCATTTAGGTCAAGCTTTTAACATGAGCAAAGGCAACTTATTAATATTTATAACGTGTAAAAATTATTGACTTTTAAAAAATAACATCTCAGTAAAATCTCACTTGCCTGGAACTTGGTACTCAGTCCACGGTGACATTCTCTCTTCTTTGTACGTATTATGGATACAGAAGTGGTTTTCCTTCCTGCTGGGATGTATTAATGGAGAATAATGAAGTTAGCATTTGCAGGGAGCATGTGTGCAGTGCCATGTTCATTCTTGACTGATACAAGCCGTTAAATGCAGCAGCTCCTTTTCCTCTTTCTTCCCATCTGTAAAGCAGAAAGGAAGGACAGCCATTGTGCTTTCTTGGCACCCAGGTGACTTAGCCTTGGGATCTGGCGGGGCCGGGGGTATCGAGTGTTTAGTTGTTTTTTGTTTTGTTTTGTTTCTCACTTTTCTATTTCTCATTTCATTTCTAATTCACTTCATGAATAAGAAAGCTTTTCTTCTTTTCTTAGCTCTTCCCACTAAGGATTTAGGTATAGTTTCAGACTTACATTTCTGAGAAGGAGCTTGGTGGTGTAAAGAGGAAAGCCATCCAACAAACATCTCAGTGTCTCCATGCCTCTGTTTGTCATTACTGATCATTGTTGTGTTCAGCATTGTGGGTTTGATTTTCCTTTTTTTTTTTATCCAGATCCCCCCACAACTATCCCTCCTCCCACAACAACCACCACCACTACCACCACCACCACCACCACCACCATCCTTACCATCATCACAGGTATGGTACCTTCATTGCCATTGAAAATGTCCTGAATGTATATTGTCTTTTTGGTATAAACAAAAAGAAGCCTAGCTGTTCTCTGCAAGCCCTCTGAACTTAACTGTTCCTTTACTTTGGAACTCCAGAGACACTCAATACTATAGTTGAGTCTTAAGAATCTAGGAAGAACTTTAACATCTGAGCTGTTAACGGATCAGATGGTTTGCACCTTAGCATGAGGGAATTCTTTTTGAAGCATCACTACTCAAAGCAGAAACACTAGGAAAATGGCAGCTTGGCTACTAGAGAACCAACCAGTGGTTTCTGCTTGGCCACAGCCGGTGAGATGGTAAGTATTATGGCCTGGATCATATCCTGGTCTAAATTTCATCTTTATCCACACGAAAGAAGTACATGCACCAAGTTTCAGAATGTCTCTGTGGGCCATGCAATGGAATGCTCCATCTTCCTCCCTCCTCTGATGGGTGGCTGCTGGCAGTGTGGCTACACGGACTTCTTGTTTCCTGGGAGATTGCAGGAGGCAGAGGGAGTCACTGTCTTCCGAGCTGAGCACTTGTGTGCCACCTCTTTTTTATATGTCCTCCCTCCTCATTCTGTTGTCCAGTGGATCTCAAACATTTTGATATTGCTTGACTGGGAGCTTTCGAGTCTCTTCTGGTCCAGCAAGATAGGCCAGTGCATGGCAGTACCATACCAATGCAGTGTGCAGGGCTTCCTAGACCAAGCTTCCCAACCACCGTTTCCAGGTGTCCCCTCTAACGGAGGAAAGAATCTCTTGCAAAAGTGACTTTGCCCCTTAGGTCTGCTTCCATTAAAGTGTCTGAGATCCCTTTGAACTGTGAGTCCTGCCATTCTATCCCTGGACTCCTTGATACACACTGAACATCTCACTTGGTGCTCTTCAATGTTCAGCCCTTTAGCACCCAATATCTAGCAGCTACCTCCTAGGATCACAATGCGTTTTATGGAGACATTTTATTTTCCATTTGCTCAAGAGTTGATGAGATGACAGAATGCAAAGTGCTCAGTGAGAGAGGCGCCTCATCAGTAGATACTACAATGGATTGTCTAATCCAGGTTTTCTTCACCTTTCAGCTCTTGGAGTGGGACAAAGAACTCTACCATAACCCACCATTGAGAGACTTCTTAAATACTGGTTACAGACACATCTGTGCCTAAACTAAATGTAAAACTTTCTGAAAATCCATCAATTGGTGTTGTGTCTCACTCTAAACCTGTCTCCCTTTAGAGATTTTGCTTCTTAATTCTTGTCTGTGTGTTTCTGCTTGAGCTCTCTGTCAGTTCTCCTTGCTTCTTAGTGAACTCAGTTTGAAGCACAGTAAACCAGTCTCTGTCATCTTCTTTATTGTTCATTAGCATATTGAAGATGGCTCCTCCTCTGCTTGGATGTCCACAGCGCCCATACTGCCATTACTTCATCCTAGAAATTCACTTCCTCACCTCTTATCTAGTTAGTAAAATTGGACTAGGTGTGTACTTTTTCTTGTTTTGTTTGGCTGGCATTGCTGGCATGGCACCCAGGACCTCTGGAATGCTATGCTAGGCAAGCACTCTACAGCTGAGTAATAGCCTCAGTCCTTTAGGAATGTGCTTTTCTTACCCGGTTTCATAGTTTTCTGTGAAAGGCCCTTTGGATATCAGAATAAATAAAGAAATTACACACATCATTAGCGACGTGTTTGTCTTTGGAAAAGTATGACCCAGCCTTTATACCTCCTGTGGTAGAAGGTTCCATTTAGGGATTTGTAGGGATTTACATCTAAAGACAGTGAACTCCTCACTCATTCTGTGAATAAACTCCCCATTTCTCCTGAATGTGGAACAACACTTTTCCTGTGTGACTGGCCTCATCACTGGCAGACCTTCAGTATTCCCTGACTCTTCCTCATCACTACAATCAGCCCCAGAAGTCACTTGAGTTGTTCTAATTCACAGCTCTTACTCCTTTGCTCCCAAGGACCTCCTTCTCCCCTGAGGTCCTCAAACATCTACAACTCACTGTGATCACAGTTCCATCTTTAAAAAAAAAAAAAAATTCTTAGAATAAATAATATCATATTTCTGTCCACATCAGAGATGACTTTAATTGGAACGTGTCTACTTCTGTCTTTGCCGCTGGCCTCTCAGTCCAAAATAACTTAGGATGATCTCACAGGTGCACTTTGGTCTGTGGTTATTAGCGTTCAAATGCTTTCTACACACCAAATGCATCTGTGGTAATGAATGCCCAGATCTTCACTGGCACATCCAAGAGTCATTAAACTAAAATTGGTACTAAAACAACGTTGTGGAATCCGTTGCCTTAATGGATGTGATCTTTCAGGCTTACTGTATCTTAACAAGCCATGTTCTATGTATTTATCTTGCCCAGAAAGCAACTTGTAGAGTTTAACATTTGCTCCTTTCTCCAAACAGATTAGAGGTTATTGAGTTGAATGGTTCTATGTCCCATTTTAAAGGGCCAGGCTAGCCTCTAGAGCTAGATTGGTTCCTAAAGAATCTTCCAGACGGAATCCTGACAAATGGATAGCTAAATTAATTTCCACTCCTCCCCTCTAGTACACTGCTTGGTACGTTTATAGTCACCATTAGCCTTAAAAGCTTCAACAGCTGAATCCAGTGACAGTAACATAAAGCTGGCCTCTACAAAGGAAAAGAAGCACCCAGAGTTGGCTATTCCTCTACTTCTAGTCAAATGCAGTAGCTGAAACCCATTCCCTAGGTCAGAATTCCATTACCAGAGAAATGTATAAATGCAATAGAAAAATATTTTCCAAGCTCAAAGGGTCCAAGTTGATTTCTGATTTTTCTAAAAGAAGCATTGCAGAGCTATCTTTTATCTTCTCTACCCAGGGTAATGGAATTGTTCTCTTTGTTGGGAAAAAATTTTGCTCCCAGTTATCAAGCTCTCAAAACAAGCTACAGATACATCCTGGAGCCCCTTGAAGGAGAGGAATCTTTTACTCTTCCAACTCTTCTTGGCACTCCCCCATCCCATATCTTAGATTCCCTAGGTTCCTAGGAGAGCAGTGCCCTCTGCCTACTGTCCTCTCCACTTGAAACAGATCTGGTGATAAGCCAGACACCCCAGAAGTGTAGCCCTAGGAAAAATTTTCTGCAGTATGAAAAGAATACTCAGACTGGGCCTGGTGTTCACACTTAATCCCAGTGCTTCGAAGGCAGAGGCAAGTGGATCTTTGAATTGGAGGCCATGCAGCTCTACATAGTGAGGCCTTGTCTCAAAAGAGAAGAAAATATTCAGTATCTATCTGCCATATCAGCAGAGATGTAGCTTTACAACTGGTAAGTCCCTGACATTAATATAAGACCCCTCAACATAAAAAAAACAATTTGTGGAAGCAGTTTTGTGAGAAACCGTTTAGAGCCTCATTGGCATATGCCCTAAGGTTCAAAGGTGTCGCTCTTATCTTTCCTGCTAGTTGATGTTATTATTGGTTCTGTTTGGCTCTTGGCTTTGGGAGTGCCCCTCCCACCCCCACCTTAGTGTTTTACTTTTTTGTCATATCACATTTTCCATAGGGTTTCTTCATTTGTGAGAGCATATGCCATAGCTCGGGAGAGCATACAGATGAATTGTTTAACTTTCTGGTCAAGTTCATGTTTCAAGGATAGTAGCCCCTTTCCCTGTGTTTGGGTCAGGCTTCCTTCCTGAAATTTTCCTGGGAAAGCATTGTCTGTTTTTCTCTTTAATTAACCTGGATATTGTATTGTTCCTGACTAGTGGAGTTCTGACTTGGGTGCTTGATAGAGCGTGCCACAAAAAGTACTCAGCATTCAGTCACAAACACCTTTCACAGTTTAGATACAAAGTGCAGGCCAGGAAGAGCTCAGCCTGTAGGTCATGCAACTGCCATAGATTAAAATAATAATAATAATAATAATAATAATAATAATAATAATAATAATAATAATAAAGCAGCCTTAGAATAAGAATGAATAGCTATAGGGCCAGATTGTAAAATGCAGTTTAAAAGCCTTTCATAAGAATGAAGTAGGTCATTTCTAAATGAGTTTTTTCTCTTTTTTTTTTTTTTTAAAGCATGGATTCAATTAAATATTTTGTGTTTCTTGGAAAAGAAAATTGCAAGGTTTCTCTTATTGGTGTCAGAGCACTCAAAAGCCAATATACCTAGGAGGATGTGACTCCTAGCCTCAGGCCCATGTATTATTTGGACTTTCACAGCTTGATATCATAGGCTTTTTTACCAAGTTAATGTGAATCAGATCATAACACGGAAGGCCCACACGGCCTTTGTCCAGTTAGTAGTATTTGGAGAGTATGCCAGTAGGGGAACTTACACTGTAGCCTGTGTGCAGTGTCTCAGGTGTAAGGAGGGCGCACATGTGCTTGCTGCAGTGTCAGTGGTGAGGCCATCTAAGTAGAAACAGAGCTTTCGTCTATAAGGCTGAGTCTAACAATTCCAATCCTGAGCTGCTGGTATTGGCAGCATGGAAAGGCTAGACACTGGTCTGCTTTTAGGTAGGCATTCAACAAAGATTGAGCATCATAGTTTGTGCAGAAAAGAACTCTTTAAATCCCTTCCTGGGTGGTTGAGAGATGCCACGCAACTAGAATGTTCAGTGTCAAAGGCAGCAGTTGCCACAGAAGTGGTCTTTGTCGGTGGCATCAAAGAACAGACAGAATGTAGATACGAAAGGGTGACATTTGGAAATAAAGCATGAAGGACTGATCGTACTTCTAGCATCTATCTTCAAGGGGAGTGTATTCATGTTGCCTAGAGTATGCCCTTTTTCCCTGTAGGAAATACACATCCTTCTTCCTACAATGCTTACTGAGTTGCCTTCTTCCTAAGTTGGAATTTACTCCATTAAGGCAGTCTTCCCTCATGTACTGAACACTTACAAAGTGTTTCTGATATGCCAGTGTGCCTGAGAACAGGAATATTATTAGGGCACTAATTACTATTAATGAGCCCGTGTCCATTTCTTTTCAT